TCGGCTTGATGATACTTGTAGATAACAACCCTACATATGGTATGCAATCGACACACTCAAATTAGAATGAGAAGGCCTTTTAATATTAAGTAGTAATAGGGCAAGCATATTGGCTCCAAACCAACGTTGGAAAGGAAATACAAAAGACTTAAAATAGGAAGACCTCAAAATCTTCTAATACTAGAAGGGAAAAAACTTGTACTCATAATTTTTTGTATAAATTCTTGATAAATAAAAAAAATTGAACTATTTATTTTAGGAAAATTGAAATTTCTAAAATCATTCCAAAACTGTGTAGGAGAAGGATTGAGTTTCTCGAAGATATGCCACCAAGGATGTTTCGCTAGAAGAGCAAAAAAATACTCACGGATAAAAAGTTCTTGTCATTGCTGATAAAGAAAAAAGTAAGTGTGCATCAATATTTTAAATTAAGCAAGAGTATGTATTTATGTGGTGGATAAATTTTGTAAATGCACTCATAAATTTTTTTTAAATTGTTCTTTGTAGGAATTTGTTCATGCTATGCTAGTGCTTAGAACGAAGTAGAAAACTTCTATAAGTCCGTTGAACATACCCTTATTCAATCTATCCTAATTAAAATGTCATAAACCCTTTGTTAAAGGATCAAAATCTCAATTGTAACTATAAAGGTCATTTCAAATGTCTATAGTGACTGAATTCTCCTTCATTGTAATTGTCATAAAATCCTGTATCATTAAGCATTGTCAGATTGCAAGGCTAGACTTGGTTGGCCATCATATAAGCAACCAAGTATCATTCTCATTAGCAAAGGAGCATTCTCAACAAAAGAAGAATATTTTATTTCCAGCCAAGGTTTCCCCTTTAGAACCTATTTATTGTATTTTTTTTTTTTCTACAGATGGCTAAAGACAACATAACTCCCACTTTTAAAATTTACCACATTGCAAATAAAACTAATAAAAAAATTGAAATTTATAAGCAATCAAAAGATATAAGTTTAAATGAATACGCCTAAACAAGGGAATCATAACATCAACTATAGACACTTGAAGATCTCACACCTCAAAAAGGTAATAGTAAAGAATAAACATTATCTGGGCTAAATTAAGCTCTCAATAATTTATATTCTCTTGTTTCTGCCAGCTTCTTGAAAGAGAAAACAATCAAGGAACTTATTTACACCTCAAAACAAGTCATGATGCCGACTTAAACCATGTCTCAGATGCCACAGATCATTGAATCATGTTAAGGGAATTAAAGCTCCATACTCACATGCTCAAAAGATGTCAATAGTATCTCAATGAAAAGTCACCTAAGGAATAGCTTCAATCCAATCCTTGAAGGACACACATTAAGCTCAATAAAAAAAAAATTCTAGAAGTTGCATATTAAAATAAATAAACTTGACCAAAACACTACTTACTTATCTGTAATACTGGCCTACCTAACTTGAAATCATCCTCCTCACAATTCCTATAACAAAAGGAGTAGACTTCTAAATCATACTATATATTGCAACAACCTATTCCACTTTTTTTTATGTGTTAACTTGTACTTACGAAGCCAAGTCCCAGGTATGTGGGCACAATACTGGGATCTTGGACTCATAGCAAAAAACTCAAATCTAAAACCTATACCTATATTCTTGCCTTTCTTATTTCAGTGAAACATATCTCAGCTAGTTTGATGCACCCTTTCAAGCTAAAGGGGCCAAAATGACATTGTAACTCTATTTAATCCAACAAATTTTATTTCGCTTTCCTCTTTTCTCAACTCTCAGGTTAATCTCATATTCTGCCAATCAATTGAAACTTTGCAAGACATCAACATAGACTAATAAAACCCTCCAAAAATAGCAAAATGCAACAATTTAAATTTGCAACATAAAATCAGCGAAAGAAATTA